TGGCGACTCTGAAATAATTAAACCAATCCCGTTTCGATTGTCTTTTAATTGGAAAAAACTCCCTTGCACCCCATCGGGCGCGGGTAAAAAGGAGGTGTGACAATATGTAATTCTATTTTTCACGCAGATACTTTTTCTAGATCAATAAGATATGATAATTAGTGTTTCAGGAAATTTCAGTAACATATTGCTTAATATTATACTTAAAAGTCAGATTACCATAACTAAAATACAAAAAACAGGAACTCGGGTAACGTAGAGGGTAAACTTTTTATGTGGCACCCAATTTTGCACCGCCCATTGAATTTGTATTCATTTTTTAATTTTTTTTAACTAATTCCCAGTTTTTGGATAACTTCAAATATATAAACTCTTCTCTTCTTCTTTTCTGTTGTTTTCTTCTTCTTTGTGCTTAAAGTTTGTTCTTCTTCTTCTTCTTCTTCTTCTTCTTCTTCTTCTTCTTCTTCTTCTTCTTCTTCTTCTTCTTCTTCCTCTTCTTCTTCTTCTTCTTCTTCTTCGCAAAGTGAGTTTGTTAAATTTATTGTTGTTGTTGACAATTTGATGATTAGGATTTGTTCTTTATGATATTTGAAAGTGTTTTCAAATTTAAGCTCATTTGGAGTAGATTTTGGCATTGAATCGTGTGCTGAATTATTGAAAATCGAAAAACAAATTTATGCTTCAGAACTTAGGATTCGATATCTGAATTTGCATTCAATAGATTGCCGTACTTAAGATTCAAGTTACTGAAGTTGCATTTGAAAGATAGAAGTACTTCAAATTTGATTTCTGACGTTGCATTGAAGAGATTGAACCTCTTAAAATTTGAATTTCTGAAGTTGCATCTGAAAAATAGAAGAACTTCATATTTGATTTCTGAAGTTGCATTTAAGAGATTAAACTACTTCGGATCTGAGCGGGTATTCTTTGAAATTTTTTGTGCAATGCAGGTATAACTTCAACGATGACCCCAAAAGTGGGTAGATATGAAAATGCCGCGTAGGAGACTATGGGAGGATTGTTCATACAATCAAACCCCTCCATAACAATCTCATTTGTTTCGATATTTTTGTTATCGAGTACATTTATTATAACATAACATCGATTATAACATATATTATAACATAAAAATCGATTCGACAAAAATTTAGCTTTTATAGTAAATGACTATTATATAAGGATACTATTATAGATATGTCTGACTGTATATAAATAGTCATTGGGCCCGGGCTTAACATCACCAGTGGTAGAAATATTAGTCTTGAAAGAAGAGAGTTAAAAGGGAAATAGACTCATTAATTAAACGTGAAATTAGTTTCATTAACTGAAGGTAGAGTAATAGACTCATTAGTTATCAAAATAAATGCCAGGGCCTGGTGCGTAGCACTTTGGTCAGCAAAACCTACCGTCGTCATTAAATTCCCCGCACAATCTTTGCCATTGCGCTCTTTCACACGTCCTGTCCTCAGTAGGCTCTTTTCCACTGGTGTATTCTCCGCCTTTGTCTCACTAATTGCGTCTACAACTCTACATTCATCAAATTCTCAAGACATATTTACCAGTTTTAATACGCATATCTGCTTGCCCCTTTAGAGCTCATAGTTTTTCTTCACTTTCTGCTTTCTGGGTTCTTCTTTCACAAGGTATTCCAGTTTTACCTTCTCAAGATCTTTTCTTGATCATTTGATTTCTTTATGTGGGTAATGTAAATTGTTTTCCTTGAAGTTGCTTACTCGTTGATTTAGCTTTTCTGCATAATGTGATTTTCCTATTGAGGCTTTCTTGGTTCTTTTGCCTAGAGGTGAATTTTGTTTAGATTTCAGCTGCTTATTTTGTTGTTTTATTCGCTCAAAGATTGGTAAAAAAAGATTGGCTTTTTTGAATGATGTTCTATTTTAGATTTGTCATGAACCCATTTTCCCGGTGGGAAATTTTATGATAAGTGTTATGAGTTTGTGGGGTAAAATATATTTATGCTATACATTTATTTTTCTGTTGTTTACATACAAGATATAGAAGAAAACAATACCTAGATTAGGTTGTTGCATTTCCTTTTCCTTTATGCCATGCTTGTTTATACATTTTTTCTTTGGAAGATAGTAATTAGTAACCAGAAAGAACCTTACAATTCTTATCTGAACTTACTCTGCTCATTTTGCATCAGTAATTGTGTTCTCATTGGATACTATATTTTTTTCGGAAAAAAAAGAAGAAGAAGAGCCTTTCCATCATATACTGCACATTGATCACAGCTTCGTGATCAAATCTACTCAGTCAGATAAGATATCCACCCCTGGCAGCAGTATAATCACTACATCCAGCATGGTGCATCTTTTTCTTTTCTCCTTTTCTGTATTGAAGTACTTTTAGGACCTCTGATTTAACATGGCCAAGATGTAGATATACATTAGCTTTACTGCTTTAGCCATCACGGTTTCCTTCTAATGCTTCTCAACTCATTTTTCAAATGCTTACTTTATGTTTCTCGATAACATTCTTTTCCTCCAAATTGGGCTCATAACTTGTTTAGGTTAGTCTCGAAGAAGTGCTTCTTCAATGAAGATCAGAAGAAAAAGGGGCAATTTAGTTTCAAGTAGTGCTTCTTTAATGTAAGATCGGAAGAAAAAATGAACTTTTCTGGCACTTAGATTCTGAAATTGAAGTCTTTTCTCTTCTTACATCTGTCGAAAGTATTGGTAAATGAGGATGAATTTGTAACCCGTCAAAGAAGTAACTGTTCTGATACACCTAACTGTCTGAATAGGAGGGATAACGCTTTCTGTTTCTTGATGTCTACCTTGGGAAATCCTGCAAACATATTCTGGCATGAATGTCCAGTTGGAAAGGCAGAGAGGGAAAAGCTGCTTAACCAACAGGGATGTGTTGTATGGATTACAGGTCTCAGTGGATCAGGTAGTATTAATTTGCTGTTGCTTATTCCATTTTTGCACTAACCTTGGTGATTTGCATCCTGGAATTAGTCTATACACTCGTTCTTCCCCGAAATTGGAATTGCATTAAGAGGTTGACAAGAAAATGTCTCTCACATATTCATTTGAACTGCCTAAGAAATTGAGGAGAAATTGCCTGTCCCGTATTCAGCTAGATATTTTGGTCAAAAATATTTTGTGGCATTAAATCATTTCAGATTCAATTTTGTAACATATGTCACCATTATTTGAAGATTTGGTCTCAACTTTTGCAGGAAAAAGCACACTTGCTTGTTCCCTAGGTAGAGAATTACACACAAGGGGTAACCTCTCTTATGTTCTTGATGGTGACAACCTTAGGCATGGTCTGAACAAGAATCTTGGATTCTCGGCAGAAGATCGTACTGAAAATATACGTAGGGTTGGTAAGTGTACTTTTGAAGAACAAAGTGAAACTACCATGAGTTTCATGGATTTACTATTGGTTTAAACTCGAGATGCTTAGAGAACAAACTCTCAGACTACCTGAGGAAAATATGTTGTACAGTTGTTTCAGTTGGACTCTAGTGATGAGGTTAATGATTAAACGTCAAGCCATTGATGAAAGGAGTCTTTCACAACAAAACCCGGCTCAACTCCAACAAGATCAAGCTCGACTCATTTATTTATCATATGATCTAAGCTTGCTCAAATTTTCACTCAATATTAAATGCGCCAAGCTTGGATAAGCTCGGTTGAATTGTCCAAGTTTGTGAACAATTCATTTTAAAGTCTGTTATATGTCTTTATAACCAGAAAATCCTTTGGATATTATTATGCTAATTTATTTCCTAATATTTAAAGTGAAAAGATCTCAATATTCTATTTCTGATCTTGAGTTGTGGATATATTGGAGTAAGTGCGAATGCAGTTTTTGATACATTTAAAATGAGAGCTCATTTGAACTCCAAGGTCATTTAGTTTATCAAGCCAAACTTGAGCTCAAGCGCTACATTAAGTTATTTAGAGTCACACTAGAGCTTAATTTGGACAAGTTTTGAAATCCAAGTCCAGCTTGAGCTTGGCTGGTGGAATTCTGGATTCTCCCTTGGTCATTTGGGACTCAACTCTGCTCAGATTGATTACACCTATAATCAAAAGAAGATATTCAGTCTTCAAATTTTCCAGGGATATCTACACTTTAGAATTCCTTTTTTTTTTATTGGGATGGGGGGTTGGGGGAGGGGGGGAGTGAGCGAGGAAGGGAAAATTTGGAAGGAGAAAGGAAAAATGATGATTCAAAATTCACCCTTCCTTCATGTCCTTAAAAGAACTGCTGTGCCTAGCATCCCTGAATTATGTAGATAGAATGCAGAGCACAGCTATCATTATAATTTCATGCATTAGATCTGATGTTTACAATCTTTCATTTGAATTATCATACTAGATGAAAAATGTTCATAGGGATCAGAATTGTGGTCGATATCATGAAGAATGAAGAGATACCATCTATGCCAACAGATGATTTTAAGAGTCTATGCAGCTCATCTCTACGTTGAGGCTAATAATTAGTGACTCTTCTGCTAACCACATCTAGAATATCTTGTGTAGTTCGTCATTTATTGTCGGGAAAGTGTGGAAATATATTTGTTGAGCGGAAACAGCTCCAGCCTTGAGAAAACTATGTTTTTATCTTTATTTAACTGTGCAGCTATCATGAAGACAATGACCTAAGTGAAACTAATTTTAGTTTCCCATTCATTTAATTTGAATTTTTCTAGATGTTCTGCATTGACGTATGACATATGTTGTACTTCCTAATTTACCTGTCCTGTTTCTAAAATTTTCCAGGTGAAGTTTCAAAGCTCTTTGCAGATGCTGGATTAATATGCATTGCAAGTTTGATATCCCCTTACAGAAAGGATCGTGATGCTTGCCGAGCATTATTTCCGGATAAAAGTTTTATTGAGGCAAAGTTTCCATACTTTACATTCTTATGGAAATATCTGCAATTTTAACTAATTTTGTTCGACTTTCCAGGTTTTTATGAATATGCCTCTGGAACTGTGTGAAGGAAGAGATCCAAAAGGCTTGTACAAGCTTGCTCGTACTGGAAAGATCAAAGGTTGGTATTAGCTTCAGGGTAGTAGCCTATACAGTTTCCATCTCTCTTTGAAATCTGGAGTCTTAAAAAAGGAGAGCAACTCAATTGGTTGTGAAGTCTCATTCATGAGATGTTAGACCCATAGCGGTAAATATCACCTGTGAGGTTTTATTCTGATAAAAACCAGGTGTAATATTTGTGTACTGCTTGTTGCCATGTTTCATGTGGTTAAAAGTTGATGAAACTAAAAGTTCATTAATGATAGGACATTTCTCAGAGGACTGATTTGTCTAGTTCAATTCTATCTTTGCCCTGAAACCAGAATGAAATGTTTTTTCTCCTATGTCGCAACTGGATAATTGGCATCATTTCAGTTGGAGTAACCAAGGGCAATTCTTAAGAATTTTGCTTGCTTGTGTAGATAGCAGATTTACATCGACCTAGGCTGCATTGCTTCAAAACTCTCTTGAAGTTCAGTACCTCAGAGGAAAAGGAACTTCTTATAACTCAGAGCCTTTCGTTTTGCAGGTTTTACCGGAATAGATGATCCTTATGAACCGCCATTGAACTGTGAGGTACCCTGTTACATTCTTTGATTTTAAGTATTCAGATATATCTTAATTTGCTTCTGTGTTCTTGTAACAACTTTTCTTCAGAAACTGACCGACAATTTCTGCGTGGTGGTTTCTGCTAGATTGAAATACAACAAAAAGATGGAGTAGTTCCGACACCACATGAGATGGCTGGGCAAGTTGTCTCATACATGGAGGGCAGAGGCTTTCTGAAAGCTCAGTAACAGGATCGCTGGAAGTAAAATAAGAAAAGACTTGGCACACAGTCAAAGTATCTGCATCTCCTTCAATAACCATATTTATTGTTTAAAATCATCAAGTTTGAGAAGGTAGTTAATGATCATCTCGTATCAGAGACATGGTTAGGAGTATACAGCACATATTTTTTCTTCAGATTAGTTAGATACATAGACGTAAGTTAATGAGTTTGCCTCTCTAGTGCAGTAGGTTCCAGAGATTGTTCCGCAGCTATCTTGCGCTACATGATCACAGGAAATTCCCATTTGTTTTTACTGGGTATATCAAAGGCTGCAAATCACAGGCTGGGTATATTACACGAATCTATATCTATATATAAATATAAAGTTGGGAATGGAGAAGGTGACGTAGCATGTCTCTTTGTCCAAGAATCATATTTATCTTTTTTCTCAATTTTTTGACATTTTCTATTTTTCTATATTTATGTGCTATAGATTAAAATTTCAAAACATCACATCTTATTTACATAGTCTTAGTTACACCTCCCTCCCTTCTTTAGGCTATCTCTTTTTTCAGTTTAGAAAACCAAACGTCCCCATCATTAATACCTCAAATAATTCCACCTTTAATGACTAATGTAACAGAATATTTAACATGCAATTTAATCAAATGATTTAAGCAAATTAAGAAGCAAACATTGCCTTGATCAGAAAGCCCAAAAGTTTCACCATGAATTTTGTCTTATGCTAGAAAGCTCAAAAGTCTATAAATTAAATCAACTGGATTTGGAAGCTAATGGAGAGATCTATACATTGTAGTCGTCTTTGGTTCATCACTTCCGCCAACAATTTTGCCAAACAAAAGCTTCCACTTGCTAGGTTTTGGCCCATACTTGGGTTTCAGTTCTTTGAAAGAACACAAAGAAAATTCATGGAGTTTCCTTTGTGTTAAAAGCAAGAAACGTCAAGGAATTTGAGAATTTTCGTTAAAAAAGTTATTAGGCAGAATAACAGTCTTGAAATCCTACTCATCATCTTACTTTTGTCCTTGAAAGAGAAATGTTTTTTGTCTGATCTACGACCATAACGTTATTATTTAGAGGTATTCATAATTATTAGTGAGAATTTGTCAGTGTCAATGTAGAAGAAACATTTTTATATTACCCTCTCAAGTTAAGGTGGTAGGAAAGAATGAAAAAAAACGAGCAAGGGCAAAGAAGATCAATGAAGAGCGAGGAAAATAAGAGAGCGAGAAGAATGAAAAAGTCAGAGCAAGGGCAAAGAAGAAGGACGAAGAGCGAGGCAAAGAAAGAGAGCGAGAGGTAAGAGATCACATAAATATTGCTCTAAGACTTCCCATGGTAATAGATACAAGGTCTGTGAAGGTAAATCGTGGTTCGGTATGGGGTGAATAGTGGACGCAGTGAATCTCAATATGTAACTTCTTATATTATCAGATTGCCCCTATTTGTTACTGTACGGTCTAAGTTAAGGAGGTGGGGCAGAATTTTTTGAATATCATCCGTTATTGTTTTGCGGTGTTACTTTTACAAAGTTGGACGTTTTACAATTTACAATAATATGGAAGGATCACAATTGCTTTGCGGCTTTCTTTGTGCAACTAAACCTGCTCATATTTAATTTGCTTCAAATGAATTAACAAAATAGGTTTAGTTTCTTCTCTCATTTAAGCTGCTTAAGAGTCAAGAGTTTCTCTTTCTCTTTATTATTTTCGGTGCAAAGTGAATATACCTACTTCTATCGGTGGTTAGATTTTTCGGCAGCTTTGCTGTACAGTGTCATTTTATTTTTGTAAAGCTGACACCATCTTGGTGTTTCATTAGTGGAGTAAATTATTTTGCTTTATCAATGCTAAAAAAATTCCTTCATAAAATTAAACAACTTGTGTTATATTTTGTGAGCTTTTGTAGTCCAAAGAGGTAATCTTTTTGCGGTAGTTTGTAGAAGCAATCTAGAATTAACAATTACTGCATTTAAATGTTTATAAATGTATATTTTAAACGATCTTGCTGACAACATCTAAATTCATTAAAAGCATTCATATTTCAACATTAGCAAAAAGAAAATGGTGTGGTCTCTTTAAGTTTTAGTTCTGTAGAGGAGGCGACTCTTGGGCAGAGGTAAATCAGGATTTAGAATCAGTTTCTATTTTTTCACTTTCCTAATTTTTCCATTACAATCTCTCTATTGGAGATATTCTGATTCTCTTCCCATTTCATAATTGATGTTTATTAGTAATAAATTAATGTTATTAACTTTTTATTTTATTTTTTATTTTTGCTAACAACACAAATATGTTATTATTGGGTGTATTTGTATTATCACTAACAACACAAGAACGATTTGTTCCTTAGATGCGAGCTTTATAAACGATTTTCATGCCAACCACAAGCTCTCATATGCATGAGTGAGACTTTAAAGTCCAGCATGGGAGCCTCACAAAAGCCAATAATAGTGCTAACATTACATATTTTGCTCTTTATAATGAGCATTGAAATAACTTTCTATATATTTTAATTTTTATTTTAAAATTGTTTTTATGTGTATATATCTTTCTTAATGTTTGTTTTACTTTTAACTTTTGGTATTATATTGTACTTGGAATGATAAGTCAACTAGTTATTGTAATATTACTCTTTTCGTCTTCAACTAGGCATTTGCGTTTTTGACTATTGATCCTACGCTCTTCAATACTGAAGAGCCAAATAGTTCCTCCAATATATAACTTTCTTGCTTTACAACCTGTTACTCATCAATTGTTTTTTACGTTTATCACAAAGACGTACAGAAGGAAAAAAAAAGTAAATAGGTTCTAAGATTAGTGTACATGGCTAAAATCGGAGAGTCCGATTTTATGATCGATATGATATTCCGTAGTCCAGTAGCCTCGAGGCATAGCTCGAGTTTCTATCCCGAAGGTTCCCTATGCTCGATCTCGGGGCAGCACAAATCGATGGCTATCACGGACAAGCCGGAAATTCCCAAGGCACGTGATCAAAGCTGACAACACCTGCAAGAATAGTACAAGTCCGTACCGGACCATTAATTAGTTGTACCAACTACGTTTCTTTGTAATATTATACATGTACCATGTTGGGATTCCCCCTCTTATATAAAGGGGACCCTTGCTATTTCTTGCACACGGAATTTTCAATACAAGAACAAGAATATTTCTCTACTCTCTAACTTAAACATTCTCCATTGTTTTTCCTTTGATTTATTGCTTACATTTATTGTGTTCCATTGATTGTTCTTCATTTATTACTCATCATTGATCATAAAGAGCCATCATCAAGGCCCTCAGGTCTGTTAGTCCTTCATCGACCATCCCCAATCGAGCCCCTTAGCTCAATCTCGAGGCCCAGCTTAGGCCAGTCGGAGACCCCGATTCATGGCTATTTGGTTTGAATAATAACACTGCTCCTTGCTCTCACTTTGCTTTCTTAGCTTACACTTAGCATCTGTTGTCTAACAACTAGCATAAAAATAAATCACGTATTTTTAGAACTACAAAATCAAATGTAATTGTAATTACCATTTTTAAGGTAAACAATTTGGCGCCCACCGTGGGGCTAAAAATAATAGTGATTGTTTTGGTGTTGGTTTGCTGAAAACACAAGTTATTCTTCACACACTTGTCCAAGAATCTTTAATTTAGGTCAAAATGTCTAATTCAGTAAATGCACCTGAAAACAACGGTCCTGAGGACCATGGAGAGAATGGTGTAGTTGTTCCAGGCGCCGGTGTACCACCGCGAAACCCTGAGGACACACCAAAGCCAATCCCCATGGATGTGGGCTCACGCAATGCCCAACACATCGATATAAGCTCACACACTAACGGGAGTATACGCCGAGAAAACTAACAAGAAGCTCATAGAACCCCAGTTCGGGAGAAAAGAAAGGCAGACGGGAGGAACATAACGAAAAAAAACCTCAGCACATCGTTCATATGATCATTGGGGGGACCGACGTTCCTCAAGGACCCGTGACCAAGCGGACAAAAGTTTCCGCTGCAACAGAAGGAAAATTCGGGGACGCATGCCCGAGGACATCCTTGCATTCAGTGAAGAGGACTTCGAGACCTTGTCTCATCCACATAACCATGCGCTAGTAATTCCATTTCTCTTGAATAACATTCAAATTAAATATGTACTCGTGGATCCAGGTAGCTCGGCCAACGTAATCAGGTCGAAGGTGGTAGAAATGCTCGGACTGCTCAATCAAATCATACCTACCTCCCGAGTCCTCAACGACTTCAATATGGCTGGTGAAGCAACGAAGGGGGAGATCACCCTCCCGGTCAACATGTTCGATAAAGTTCGGAATACCAAATTTCATGTCTTCGAAGGTGACATGAGGTACAATGCGTTGCTTGGAAGATCATGGATACACAATATGAGGGCAATACTGACAACTCTTCATTAGATGATGAAGTTCCAATGAAAGACGGTATAAAAATGGTATATGGATAATAGCACGAAGTAAAAGATATGTTCGCGGTTCACAGGGAGGCACCAACTTCCGTACCCTCCATTTCGGAGGAGCCGGAGGGAAAACAGACCCTCGAGGACGATGAGGAAGACTTCCTCGCTCCCCGAACTTTCGTCGCTCCCGAAGAATCGGATACAAAAAAATCAACAATTGAAGAACTGGAGCAAGTTGTTTTGATCGAGCATCTCCCAAATCGGAAGGTATACCCGGGAACAGGATTAACCCCCGAACTCAGGAAAAAACTTATTCAATTTCTTATTAATAACATTGATTGCTTTGCTTGGTCCCATTTAGATATGACAGGGATCCCGCCAGAAATAACCACCCATCGACTAAGTGTCGACCCCACGTTCAAACCGGTGAAGCAAAAAAGGAGACCTTAGTCCGAGGTAAAACACATGTTCATCAAGGACGAGGTAACAAAACTCCTCAAAATAGGGTCTATCAGGGGGTAAAATATCTCGAATGGTTGGCCAATGTAGTGGAAGTTCCCAAAAAGGGGAATAAGTTGAGAATGTGCGTAGATTATAAAGACTTAAATAGGGCGTGCCCCAAAGATTCATTCCCGTTGCCCAACATCGACCGCTTGATCGATGTCATGGCCGGTCACGAGATCCTCACCTTTCTCGATGCCTACTCGGGGTATAATCAAATTTAGATGAACCCCGAGGATAGGGAAAAGACTTCGTTCATCACGAAGTACGGTACGTACTACTACAATGTGATGCCCTTCGGGCTAAAAATGCGGGAGCCACGTACCAACACCTAGTTAATAAGATGTTCGAACATCAAATAGGCAAATCCATGGAAGTTTACATTGATGATATTAAGTCCCTACGCGCAGAGGACCATTTGACTCATTTGCAGGAGACATTCGACATCCTTAGAAGCTACAACATGAAACTCAATCCCGAGAAATGTGCCTTC